CTTATTCCAAAAAACAAAAAGCGGCAGTTCCTTCAAAATATTAGTTCACTAATTTTACATTTTGACATTTATAAAGTCTCTTTTCTTATGAGCCAATTCTTTCTAATTTCCCTTTGACCCTTCTATATCTTTAATTCCAGAAGGTTCCGGATATATTGCAAGTCAAATCTTGCCAACTTTTTGTGAGGAATGTACAGTTGCGAAACTTTATTTGATGATCTTACTACAGACAACTTTAATAAATGATTATAAATGACAAATATCATTGACCATCTCAATGAGGAACATCACATTGAAATTCATATTCCTAAGAATTTATGTTTCTCCTTTCTAAGCTAATCATATCAGCTGAAAATTAGCTACGCGAAATAAACTGGAAATGTGAGAACAAGAAAACAAAAAATGAACATAAATTTTAATCAATTTTATTTATTTGCTCTTCTTTCTTGTCTTCATATTTTCAGAGAACAATTCATGACTGAACCATAGTTCCATTTTTTCTTGACTTGGTGTTCGTACTGAATGCATACATTCATCAGAATTCTAAGGTTGGAAAAATTACTGTTTAACAGGTAATTAAGAAGTTAGTAGATTAGCACCACCAAGATCTTCGAAAATTATTTCCCATTCCTTTAATTCTGAACCTTTACTCTATCGACAAGTTGATCTTTACAAAGCGCATGCACCATCAAAACTTTTTAAACTTCCACTACATAAATTATTACGTGGTAAATTTTTTAAAACTTTTACGTGGTAAATTTCATGCAGACCAAATGAATTTTGGGATTTTTACATTCCCAATTTATATATTCGTTGATTTGGACGCCGATAAGTTTACAGAACCTGACTCTTGAATTAGTGCAGAATATTTATTCAAACAAATTCCCGAAACTAAAACATAGTTCCATAAATATTTAGAAATGACAAAAAATGTAATATCCGCAGATGATAAGCACGCGGTTCTTCTGTTCTAACAGTCGACTTCAGCCTGTCTTACCACATTTTTTTCTTCTTTCATCTTTTTCCAAGAAATACGGAAACATGGATGCATAATGCTGAAGATGAAATTAAGTACAACTGCAAGTACTAATGAACGCGGAAGCGCGAACTTTCAATAAAACCATGTTGTCTTTTTCTTGCCCGCATAGTGCAATCCTTCATCTTCTGAAAGTTTGAGGCAAAAAAGTGAACCTTCATTTTCAAATCCAACCCGAAAGAGAAAACTATCGAGCATAAATTGCTACTTCCGTGTTTGAGAATACAGTGTCTGAAGTGTACTACGCTTTCAAACATGGAAGTCAAATTTTACCAATTCACTCCTTTATTTTTCGATAATTCACTAGCCATTTCACTTCCTCAATTTGTTTTCTGCATTGTGAATTCTGACCCTCTTTTCTGATGAATTTAGGAAAAAATTAAAACTGCTTCATCTACAAAATTTTTGCGAGTATTATAGCAAATTACAGTAAATTTTCATTTCTTCGAAATACATCAAAGAAGTTACATCCTAAAAATCTAAAGATAATTAAAGATAGTTTAGAGCTCATGAAATGCGATTTTGATTCCATTGTCACACTATCACACTATCAAGCACTGAATGACGAATACTAGCCAGTTCGAATCACCAAGCTAGTAGATTATACAGAAAGGGTTGGAGTTGTGGATTTACGGCACTGTCTACAGTTGCGCCAGCATTGGCGACATATGACCAGCAGCATTCTTTTCAATTCCAGCAACAAAAGGAATGGAAATTCTTGAATTCCATATGGTATAGCGGTGGCTTAAAGTATGAAAACACGAGGAAAGCGAATCTACATTTCTCCACCTGTTATTATGAATCAGTTAGCAATGTCGACATCACTGAATTAGGGATAATGTAGTTCGAAACAGTGCATTTCAATATGCTATGGTAGATAATGAGTTTTTATTACACTTAAAGCTATTAATAGAATATTCGACACGGATGATTAATGCTAAAGAAAGAACTCATACAAATCGAACGACCAATACACTAAAGTGAATATTTCTCATCTGTGAGACTTTTGAAAATACAGAATTCCTTTGTTATTGCACTTCAGTATCACCAAGTTAATGAGAGATTAACAGAAGAGAATAAGCACATTATAGAATCCAAAATATTTCTGATTTTTACATATGAATCTCATAACGATTCTCCAAAACGAGGAAACAAATCAAGATAATGAAATGCCATGCTGGCAGATAAGCTATGATAGTTATGCTACTTTGCCACGACGTCTACAAAAAAAAAAGTACAAAACAATCTTTTCGTGAAGCGACGATGATTCTGGAGGTATAGCACTCAGCCAATAAACAATACCTCGGCACCTATATGCATCAAGCAGAAGTAGCGTTTATTAGCTGAACTGCTTAACCATTACCAAGATAGTAGTAAAGGGTAATAAAAAGAGTCAAAGTAGGTAGTTGAAGGAGTAGATAGTTGAAGGATGTCCAGCGGTTTCCGGTCTCTGAAATAAGCGAAGTAAACATAAATACTTTTACTGAAAAACGATACTGATAGATCCTTAGTTACACTGGTGATAAGATGTGAGAATGTCACCAAGATTCTCAATAATTAAAAATTAATGGTACTGGGGATTCGGATGTGGCATTAATAACACCGTTAAAAAAAGTAATATTATATGCTGCTGACAATTCAACACATTCGGCACTGAAACTAAATTCCAAACTACATAACATGTCCAAATTGTTATCAACACGGTGGTATAAATCAAAGGCCAAATTTTCAAAAGTTCATTTAAAAACCAAAAAAGCTCTTCTAGGTATTTTTTAACATACCCTACATTTTTTAATACCAGTTTTTCATCTAAAATTGTAGGATTAACTTTTTCTCAAACCATCGACCTATAAATAGTATCTTACTTATCGGACAGTTCCTGTATGAAAATAATCAAAAACATACTTTGATCCACTACTGCCATTCGAGGATTACGTTAGATTGTAGCTGTGCATTCCGAATAAATAACTTACAGACAAGAACGAGTATAGGTGGAATATTCCAGGTACTTTATGAATCCAGAATCATAACTCAAATTAGAAACTTATCCATTGTTAAGTCCTAGAAAATAAGTTTATGAAAATAATCAAAAACATACTTTGATCCACTATTTCTAACATACATGAACATTCATCGATGTACATTCCCCCGGCGTTTTTTTTGTGATTCTGTGGCAAAGAACTCAAAATTTAAGGATTAAAGCACTGCTGTACAGTACATTTCTAACATACATAAATATGACAAAATAGAAGCTTAAAGTCTTGACATGTCGCTTTTTTCTTTCTTTTGTTTTTTTGAAGAGCTACCAAACGCAGACAAGATGATAGCAATTTATAATTAGCAATTTTGATGAAACTGTGTTGAAGATCTTAAATGAAGAGATTACAGAAAGATAATGATTGAGGTAATGAACAAAATTTTTTTTGAAAAAGCGAGAAACAAAAAGTCCGGAAAAGTGTGAAATTTGTAAGGGCTTGGTTACCTTGGATGTTTACCCAACAAGTCCACTTATCGAATTGAACTAACCAATGTGGTCGTTCCAATGAATAACGGTATCAAAGTCTCAAACATGAAAAAGAACGTGCCCGGATTTCATCTGTTGATGAAGATCATCTAGTCTTAAATAAAGCGATGAATTCTCACGGCAGCACATCGACACTACCTGAAACTTCTGAGATACCGGCCTGTTTTTACTCAAATTATGAGCACTCTTGTTGTAAGTTTCGAATTATATTCGGATACAGGTGGGAAAATTAGTTGTACATATATATATATATATATATATATATATATATATATATATATATATATATATATATATATATATATATATATATATATATATATAT